GAAGAAAGCCTAAACTGTTTGCATTATTTTCATGACAATTAAGCACAAAAAAATAAATGCATGATATATAATACATTATTCAATGTTATAATTATGTAATTTGACATAATAAAATAGTAAATATTATACACATAGTAAAATTACATAATTAATCGGCTAATTGAAAATATCAGGGAACATCTCCAATCAGCTTTCCACATGAACTAATCCAAAGAAATGTCAGTCGTATTTTACTCAAAAATGTGAGAGGGAAAAAGTAGTTAGAATATTTTGCATTGTTTTCATGATAATTAAGCACATTTTTTTAACTAACTAATTACATAATATATTATTTAATATCATTATTTTAAAAAAAAAAAAGAACAATCTAACTAGAAAAAAATATTATATAACAATATAATTATGATGTGATGTTTCATCATGTTCAAAGGCAGATTCATCTCATTGTAACTTTTTTTAATAATGAATTTAATTTATATTTTGCTATACCAAAAATTAGTATAGCATTTTTAGTATAGCAAAATATAAATTAAATAAATTCATTATGAAAAATGTTACAATGCGATGAATCTGCCTTTGAACATGACCGGTTGCATTATTATTCGCAAGCGAACAGCGCTCGTGGTCCATTGCTAAAGAGCTTGATGATCCTCCATCGTCTTGATAACTGACTCTAAGCACTACAGCGCTCTGCTTTAGAGTGGAAGTCAAGAGCGAACGAGTAGAGGATAGATGGAGGGATGGATGGATATAAAGAGCTTATCAGCTTTCTGTCTAAAAGCATTGCATAACTACTCTGAACACAGACAGATGAGCGTGAGTCTGAATAATATGTCCAACTACATCAATGCAGGGTGTTTGATTTCTCTAAGTGATGTGGATTAGGCACAAAATGTTCATAATATCCAATGAAACACAAAGGAACTCACAGTCTGGACGGTATCCTGAGCTCCTGGGCGTCCTTTTCACAAGCAAACTGAAATTACAGGACACTGAATTACAAATGAGATGTATTAAATAAAATGAATGACATTCAACTAAACAACAGTCTTATTTTAAACACTAATAAAAGGCCATTTAACCTTTAATTAGCACAGAAATCTCTCATATCTCTAACACAGCTCGACTCTTCTTTCCAAAGATGTTTACCTGCCTTACCTGACAACTTTCACCATTTTAGGATGACATTCGTTTAATAGTTTGAGCAGCGTTTCCATCGTTTTTCCCGTCTCTACAATATCCTTAGGCACAAAAAGAGAATTAATTTGTTTAGATCATCTGTATTTTCATTCCACAGTACACAGCATACATTTCACACACGTTGATGCGAACACAAATTCGACACAAAATGCATTGCATCAAAAAATGTAACCTCACCTCTACTATGAGCACATTCTGTAAGGAAAGAGAGGAGACAAAAAAATAAATAAATAAAACATTTTTATCATATTATATATATATATAATATACGTAATAAATATACACAGTACACCACATATATTATGTAAAAAAAATTTTTTATTTTGGGTGCGATTAATCGTTTGACAGCACTAATATATATATATATATAGTTATAGTTTCACAGTTTACTTTCACTGCTATCACAGTGTTCACAAACATATGAAGCAGCATGTGTTTTGCTTGTTTTTTAAGTATCAAATCAGCATATTATACTGATTTCTGAAGGATCATGTGACACTGAAGACTGGAGTAATGATGCTGAAAATTAAACTTTTCATCATTTTAAAACACATTAAAATAGAAAGTAATTATTTTAAATTGTAATAACATTTTACAATATTGCCGTTTTTACTGTATTTTTGATCAAATAAATGCATACCCCATGAGCATAAGAGAAAAAAAAATCTTAGCCCCAAACTTTTGAACAGGGTAAAAATAGAAAACAAAACAAAAACAGAAGTTCAAAAGTTGAAACTCACCTTGTCAGTAAGGGCAGATAATTCATCTCCACCGATAACCTTCACACAGTTTGTAGACTGATCATTCTGAGCAGAAATCAGAGCAGAGAGAGAGAGAAAAAGGAAATACTTTAATGTTGAGCGTTCAAAGCCACTGAAGATTTATCAACAGCATCTGTGACAGAATCACTGAAGATGATTTTGACTTGTCTGGCAGTTTGAGCTCGAAGTCATCTCAATAATCATTATAAAGTGGAACTACTTTTCAAGGTGGATGAACTCAGCTATACTCTGGATGCATCGCTAAATTCTGGCCAATACCAATGAACCAATGATTATATTTATAGTAATCAAATGATAAACATTGACAAATGCTAATAAGATTCTACATAATTTGTCAAAAAACTAGGAATTTACACTGTAAAAAATGACTGTGAATTTAACGGTAAAAGACTGTAAAAATGCTACAGTAAAAACCTGTTAAATGGTTAACGGTAAATTCCCCTACTATATACGGTGAAAAACTGTATTGGACACTACATGTATTGGACATGAATTTTACGGTAGTATACCGTTTTTGGAAGTGAAAAAGACCGTATAATTTACAGTGAATAACCGTAAATTGACATTCCCAGAATTCCCTGCGTTACATTTCAAATTTGATGTTTTTTTTGTTGAAATAACTATGTTTCTTCTTAGTTTTTTCTTATCAGTTTTGTATATTAGGGTTGTGTGTTACACCTAATGTTGTTAAATGAATGTTTATTGCATTATTTCAGTTTCATGTGTGTTACCATGATGGTGTTTAGTGTTTGTGTGAATGACACTGTGCACCTTCTATATATGTTATTATTTAAAAGCTGCTTGTGATGGGCTTTGGTTCATCATGTGACTTTCTCATCACCACCTGCATTTGGTGGTTATCAGTGTATTACAAAGGTACAAAACAGATTTCAGTACTTCAATAGGTTGGTATATTAACATTATATCAGTTAACCAGAGCTGCCGGTTTTTTACCGTAAATTTTACGGACTTTTTTTTACAGTGTAGGCATAAATGTATAATATACCAAATATGAATTTAGTCATTATATTAGGCCTATTACTGTTTAAGTCGACATGAAATGTAAATTCTACATGCTGCTTCTTTGGTTGACTGCAAGCTACATGCATTTTTGAGGGAAGTGCTTTCATTTTTTTTTTCAGTAATGCGTTTCAATGGGATATACAGTACATTACAATACGGAAGCAAAGATCTGTCACTACGTCCATTTTATCGCAACTTTAAAGATTAACTTTAGAATTTTTTTCTATACAATGAAAATAGCTGATCACTGAATGATTTTTTTTTTTTTTTTTAATTTTCAAACTATTCTGAATGATGTATTTTTCAAAATATCTGAAATTTAACTGAAAGAGTTCTGCAGAAGAAAAAAAAACAGGTTTGAATGACATGAGGGTGAGTAAATATTGGTGAACTGTCCCTTTAAGTTGTATTTACCCTTGTCATTCCTGTAAGGAACATGTCAATGGCACAATCTGCTAATAAAATGCTCCATTTTTATGTACAGTAATAATCTGACAGCAGACGTGTAGATCTGAAATCACTCATTGGTCAGTGTTAAGTATGAATGTATAAGGCTCAGTGAATGGAGTGAAGAGAGCAGTAAAGCTGGCACTCACCGAGTAGCTCTTTAGCCTGATGAAATCCACAGTCAGTGGCACAGACTTATCGCTGTTTTGATTCAACGTCTTGATGTAATCCATCAGGTCCGCAAAGAACTTGTACCCTCCTTTCAGAACGCAAAGGGCCACGATATGATGCCCGCCCATGTCCCGAACGATATCTCTGGCCAACCTTTCAGTCCTGCCGAGAAAATCAGAATTGAAAGGCAGAGTATTGTGACATTAATGCTTTCATTAAAGCTGGCTGAAGTCATGCCAAAAATGTCAGTCAAGAGATTCTTGGGGAAATTTGCTAAACAAATAAATGGGAAAGCCGAATTCAAATCACATGCCTCTCGTACTGCGCTAACATCATTAACAGGGGGAACACAGGGCCTTTTTACTATCGAGGGCATCCCACGGCCACAGTTTTGCTTCACAAATGAATGCTTCCCAATCTGACCGCAAAGACCAGATACATTCCAGGCAGAAATGCAGTATCACTGTGTGTGCATTACAGATTAAAGTCCTGCTCATCAGTTAAACGTACCTGTCCTTAATGAGGCCATTGGGTATTATGACACTGTCCAAATCCTCCTCGTAGTGTTTCGGCACACAGAAAAGACTCAGTTCGTGCCCTTTGCTGTCATCAGCTATCTAAAAAAACAAAAATCTATTAAAACATCTTTAAAGAAACACTGAGACTCCTGATATTTTAAGGAACTACGGTTATTTCATCTACTCGAGTTATACAGTGTAAAGATAATTTTTCAAAGTCTTAAATTAAAGAAAGAAAAGATTATTGGAGAATGTTCAACAAGAAAATACTATTTCAGTCTTTTTATTTCAAAATTTCACATTCACATTTCAATTCAGTGTGTTGCTTGCGGTTTCTTTGTAAATTATTTGTCAAATTTACTAGCAATTTGAGTAAAAAAATAAATAAAAAAAAAAGTTTCAAATTAAATCCTACACATTTGTTTCGATGTATAGGTTTCTGAGAGTGTATGTACATGTATGAAGCAATTTGTGCCGTGAAAATAGTGTATTATGAGTGTTACCGTATGTAGCATAAAAACCATTTTGCACCCCATTTCTGATGATGATAATTAAAATGGACAATTCACTGAAATATGAATATTTGAGCTACTCACTCACATTGCACACAATTTTTATTTTTATTTTTTTTGCTACAAAGGGTTAAGATGCAGTCATTTTAATGTTATTTCGCAAATTTTCACAGGCGAAATCCAGTTATTAAAGTTCACGCAAAAAAGTAATCATTTAGCCTACTTAATGTTAAGAATATTAATTTTTAGTCTCACTCCCATGTTCCAAACATTTTTAGCGACAAAAAGTTTTTGATGTTAATGTTTAATGTTATGATTTAATGTTATGCTGCAAATTTTTGGTGGCGAAATCTAGTCATTAGTACGGAGGCCCGCACATGACATGCAAGAAAAAATAAATAAATCGTGAGCACGGTGTACTAAAACATGCGCACGGTTACTATTTCGTTCCCTCGATTTGCTAAATCGTGCACATGATTTACTAATTTGTTCTCTCGATTTATAAATCGTGTGCACAATTTATAAATCGAGGGAACGAAATAGTAAATCGTGCACACAATTTAGCCTACTAATTTTTTTCCTGCATGCCATGTGTGGGGCTCCATACATTAGTAATAATCGACATAAAAAATATACTTTTTTTAAATGTTATACGTCATAATACGTATTTTTTTCACCAAAATATGAACACTTTGATATACTCGCTCACTTGTTATACTCACTTTTTTTCTTTTTTGCGACAAAGGGTTAAGGTGGTCACATTTGCCGTTGTTTGGCGAATTTTCGCAGACGAAATTCATATCCGAGATCGTGAATTTCGCACGAGGGCGTAATATTTCCCCACAGATTTCGCATCGGGTTCAAGTTGAACGCGAAAATTCGCTGCGTTGACCAACAGAAAGCTACGTGGTTTGAATGTGATGACTTTGTGAGTTGTGTTTCATAATTCGCTGCGGTATTGATAATAGACTATGGAGCTTTTTACCTGCGAAATTTCACTAATATCCACACAAATCTATGGTTTTAGAGAACTGAAATTGCCTTCACATGGCGGTGCTTGTTGGACATTCTCAGTCTAAATTATGATTTGAGGGGGTATGCAGTTTCCAAGTCAATGTGCAATTATAATTCAGAGAGCAAATGAAGGCAGCATTTCAATATAGTGCGTATTACGGTTTACATTTATGGTCAGTTTATAGGCCTAGTCATTTTTTGAAGCTTGACAGCTGTAGTCACCATTTGTTTTCATTTTATGGAAGAAAGCAAAACTTCCTCTTTTGTGTCAAGGGTGAGTAAATAATGACTGGTTTCTTTTTTTAAATATTATTTTTGAGTTAACGTTAACTATAACTTTAAACACTGTACACGCTGATCTAACCAATTGCGGTATAAAACCTCTATTTCAGTTCAGATTTTCATCACAAATCAATTCAGACGTGCGGTCTGAAAAATAAACCTAATGAGGAATATGAATTATTTGCAAGTTTATGGACATGCAGTGCCGAACCACACCTCACGAACCTGTGGAAACGCCATCTCCATCCGACACGCGTCTCGTTGAATAAAGCAACAGCGACACGCGGTCTCTTACCTCCAGATACGCGGCCATTCTGCTGTGTTTGTCCTTCAGGTTGGTGTCGGTGGACTCATGCTGGCGTCTGTCCGCGGGAGGAGAGCGGCTCGGTCCTTTCGCGTCCGGGGAAAGCGCTCGTCTGCTTTGCATGAAGTCAACGCGACGCTTCCTGAACCCTGACGTCACAATCCATTTTACTAATCTGATTGACCCTCGGCAACCTGTGCTTTAACAGCAGAGAAATAGTCAGCGCATTTCTGTCCCAGCACTTAATGGGTTGGTCTGATGCGCTCGTGACGGGTGATGATAACGCTGTGATGACGTCAGACAGGGCATATCAAAAGCCAGTAGAGTGTGGACTGACTGATAGGACTCCGTCTCACTGGCAAATATATATATATATATATACACACACACACATTATATATATATATATATACAGGTACATCTCAAAAAATTAGAATATCATGAAAAAGGTCAATATTTTTTGTCACTCATTTCAGATACATAGATTCATTACACATAGAGTGAAATATTTCAAGCCTTTATTTCTTGAAATTTTGATGATTATGGCTTACAAAAAATGAAAACCCCAGAAAAATTCAGTGTCTCAGAAAATTTGAATATTGTGAAAAAGTTCAGTATTGGAAAGTCATGGTGTCACACCCTAATCAGCTAATTACCTCAAAACACCTGCAAAGGTTTCCTGAGCCTTTAAATGGTCTCTCAGTCTGGGTCAGTAGGCTACACAATCATGGGGAAGACTGCTGACCAAAGTCCTCTTTTCAGATGAAAGTAAATTTTGCATTTCATTTGTAAATCAAGGTCCCAGAGTCTGGAGGAGGAGTGGAGAGGCACAGAAACCATGTTGCTTGAAGTCCGGTGTTAAGTTTCCACAGTCAGTGATGATTTTGGCTGCCATGTCATCTGCTGGTGTTGGTCCACTGTGTTTTCTGAAGTCCACAGTCAACGCAGCCATCTACCAGGACATTTTGGAGCACTTCATGCTTCCTTCTGCTGACAAGCTTTATGGAGATGCTGATTTCATTTTCCAGCAGGACTTGGCACCTGCCCACACTGCCAAAGGTACCAAAAGCTGGTTCAATGACCATGGTGTTACTGTACTCTGATTTCATTTTCCAGCAGGATTTGGCACCTGCCCACACTGCCAAAGGTACCAAAAGCTGGTTCAATGACCATGGTGTTGGTGTGCTTGACTGGCCAGCAAACTCACCAGACCTGAACCCCATAGAGAATCTATGGGGTACTGTCAAGAGGAAGATGAGAGACACCAGACCCAACACCCAGGGGTGTTTCTGCAACTACGGGCACTTTTGACTCTCCAAAATGTAAAAAAATATCAACCTCTGTGAATTTTCATTTTAACCATCAGAGTCTTTAATACATATAAAAAGGTCAACAAAATTTTATGTTTTTCAACTCTTCTTCTTACAAAATGTCCTTACCCGCAACGTTACAATAGCGTTCATTATATACATTTTTTCTTTTTTATTTCTATAAAAATGTAATATATTTCAATAGCTTTTTCAAATTCTGTGCAGTTTTGTAAATACTGATATTATAAAATAATATACAAAATAGGGGATTTCATTGTTTTCTCTATGCCATGTAAAATTTAGACAGTGACCATAGATGTCAGTTGTTTCCATACACACTAAAGACATACATATTTAGCTTTTTATGACAGATGTTGCAATTTCAATGTGTAAATCATCTCAACTTAAGTGTTAAAATAAAAATATGAAAAAATAAAATAAAGCAGAGCTGCGGTAATGACATCTTGTGTCGGTAAGGACACAATGTTAAAGTGCCATGAAATCAAAAACAGGCTACTGTAGAGAACAACAGTAAAAGAAACAGAAAACATATAGACTGAATATTTGTAATTTAATATACAGTACACCTTGAGCTTGTCTCTACCGCAACACAAGGTCTTTACCGCAACACCTACATTTGCTGCGGTAAAGACATGTTGTGGAAATGACATTTTTGCTAATATTGCAGCTAGTAAGGTCTACTACATTAGTTTTGATTCTTAGCATCTTAATACACATGAATTAAACAGTAATATGTTTATTTTTAAAATGTAGTTCAAAGTACAGAATTACTAAGCTGTATGGTAAGGACACACAATAAATACTGACACAGAAAAGATGATATTTACCTTATATTTTTGGGATCTTGTGAGTGAGGTAGTGAGGTGGCCCAATCTGTCAGCAATGCGCTCACTTGCTAATTTATGTTTCCATAGAAACTAGTCTTGTTTGTCTTTGATAAAATGTCATAATAAAAGCCTTTTTTCATTGTTGCGGACAGGCACATTTAGTTGAAAAAAATCATAAAAATGATCAATAAATCAGTAAAAAAAATTCGATAAATGAATATGTATGTATTTGAAATCATGTCAAATTGTAATTCAATTAGCTTATTTTACGTATCTCAACATTGTGACCAGAGTTGTGGGACATGAACAAAAATGGTGTTTGGACCTATAAATGCTATATAATTTTATATTAAATCACATCATTAATCATTAATTATATTTTTGTCAAGGTGTGTAATGACACTGTGAATATATTTATAAAGCATCATATGACTAATTTTAACATAAACCTAAAATTTCACTGCTGGGACTTAAAAGTGCCCGTAGTTGCAGAAACACCCATATATACATATACGTGAGCATATATACACATATAGCATGTGTGTGTGTGTGTATAAATAACAAAATATACAAGACACAGGGGACAGAACTTCATATCTATCTTTATTCATATAGCAGCACATCTTACAGAAATATAACTGCAGGAGTATACAAATGTACTGATTAAAGCAAAATACGTTTACTTACGTCAAATGTCATTAGTTCACGTTTCTTCACGATACTGAATGTCATTCTTACACACTCATGAGTGAACGGTTATCCCTATAACAGTGGTTCTCAACCAGGGGCCGACAAAAACTTCCAGATGGGCTCATAGACGACTTATTTAAAACATTAAAAAGTTATAATAAATGTAAATAATTTAAATAGACACATGCAAAGTGCCAATTCACATCCCTATTTTTCACTCTGGTGAAAATGCAGCACTTGAACTCCCAATTGCAATGTAGAAATTTGGTCCTGTGTGTCCCGAGCTAAGACCAATTATAAAGTTATCCCATTTATAACTTGTTAGTACATACAGTTCTTGAAAAATGTGAAATAATTAAATTAAACACAATTACTTATTTTAATCTACTGACACTAGTTTAAAGGGGGTTGAGAACCACTGTCCTGTGACAACTTCAAAAGCATTGGACGTTAATCACATCAAACAAAAGCAAACTAAATTCAAAAATGTGTAAAAAGAGTGCATTTAAAATACACCTTTCACATAAAATAAAAGCACAAATAACTGCTGGTGATTGGGTTAAGCGCTCTTCAAACCTTTTTTAAAAATTGAACATTTACTAACAAAAATTCTTCCAACACCTGCTGGCCAAACAAACAGAAAAAAATCAGTTATCACCGAGATCAATAACCTTCTTTAACCTTACACCTTGATCTAACAAATTTCAAGAGCCAATAACCACCAGTGGATGAGAATGATGACGTTTGAAATAAAGCAAAAGAAAAAAAAAGGGAGTCGAGGCTGCATAGCAGTGTCATGATATAAATTTTCAGATGTATTTGAGACTACACCGACAGAATGGTTAATGACAATTTGACCAGACAAAACAATGTCAATAAAAATAAAAATGTAGTCTTTTACTTCCGTACTTCAGTAATCCCAACATCTAAGTATTTAATTATATACAAAGGTCCTTTAGAAGTAAGAGGAAAGTCTTGCAAAGGCACAAAGTACTTTCAATCAAAAAGCACAATATGAAAAAAATGTTAATGATGGATTTGTGCAGAAATATATTTTTGTTCATAATACATACAGTATGATTTTGACGCAAGCTGGAGCATCAGTACCAAAAAAACACAAGAATGGACAAATGACTATTTAATCAAAAGACATTGATTCTGCTGCCTTGATTTCAGAAAATATTTGTTCTTCTTAATTGGTCCTTAGGTTAGATGTAGTGTGAATCTATATGTCCTACACCACGAGGTAAAACACACACATTCTTCCACTCTGATTCCAGAGTTTGATTTTTTTATGGCTTTGCATGGAACCCAGGCTCCAGAACATTAGCCTATATATCTCACAAAGACATATCCAGGTCATATTTCAAATGTGTAAAAAGAGTGCATTTAAAATACACCTTTCACATAAAAATAAAGTAACGTTTGAAATAAAGCAAAAGAAAAAAAAAGGGAGTCGAGGCTGCATAGCAGTGTCATGATATAAATTTTCAGATGTATTTGAGACTACACCGACAGAATGGTTAATGACAATTTGACCAGACAAAACAATGTCAATAAAAATAAAAATGTAGTCTTTTACTTCCGTACTTCAGTAATCCCAACATCTAAGTATTTAATTATATACAAAGGTCCTTTAGAAATAAGAGGAAAGGCTTGCAAAGGCACAAAGTACTTTCAATCAAAAAGCACAATATGAAAAAAAAAAAAAATGTTAATGATGGATTTGTGCAGAAATATATTTTTGTTCATAATACGTACAGTATGATTTTGACGCAAGCTGGAGCATCAGTACCAAAAAAACACAAGAATGGACAAATGACTATTTAATCAAAAGACATTGATTCTGCTGCCTTGATTTCAGAAAATATTTGTTCTTCTTAATTGGTCCTTAGGTTAGATGTAGTGTGAATCTATATGTCCTACACCACGAGGTAAAACACACACATTCTTCCACTCTGATTCCAGAGTTTGATTTTTTTATGGCTTTGCATGGAACCCAGGCTCCAGAACATTAGCCTATATATCTCACAAAGACATATCCAGGTCATATTTCACCCCCCCAAAAAAAACTTTTCATATCTATAATTTAACAAGAGAAAAAACTAACAGCCATGAAAACCAATCATTTTTAGCAAGCGTCAATTAAATTCAGTCAAACAAATTGTACCAGTAGGTGTGTAAAACTTACTTTACTTTAATATTCTTTCTTTTTCGTTTTACAATAACAAGAACAAGATTTATTGTTAGATTTAACAGGCTACAGAGATCTATAACTTTTATTAAATGTATGTAGTTTGGGGTGAAATATGGCAAAAAATGAGTCTGTGTGAGATTCACCCACACCCAAAACCAGTCTTTTTTTAATGGTTTAGAAATCGACAATATTTGAATTTCACTTA